TCTGGGGCCTCAGGGGCTGCTGCAGGTGGTCCCTGCTCCAGCCTTGGCCTGGGCTGGCATTGGGCACCTCACACAGCCCGTGCCAGCCAAGTCCTGGGCACCCAGCCAGGAGAGGACAGCACCAAATGGAAACTCAGCCTTGGCAAAGCCTGGCAGCACCTCAGATCCTGCCTGCCCTTGGCAGAGATGCTGCTCCTCGTTTTTATCTCGTTTCTTCAGCTCAGCATGACCAGGAGCCTCTCCAAGCCCTCAGAACTGAAGGACAAGAGCAGATGAACGCTCCCCAGGCTGCACGTCCTGCTCCAAGGGAAAACAGTGGCTAAACCAGGCAAACCTGGAAGGTTCCTGCAAAGCAGGCAGCCAAGGGTTTGGAGGTTCAGTCCTCACTAGCAGGAACTCATGGGTGACTGATAAGACACAAGCAGGGACCCCCCCTGCTCCTCCAGCCTGAATTATTGCAGATGGGTTTGCCCAGAGGATCAGCCAGAAAAGAAAATGGGTAAGTAAAAATGAAAAACGCTTCTTTTCTTCACATTAGCATTTAAATATTTATGGAAATCCCTGCAGACAACGAGACGAAAAAGAAAACTCAAGGAGTAATAAATAAATCAGTGCTCCAAGGTGTGGCTGGTGGAGCTTTGAAGAGCATGGTAACAAAAAATAATAATGGTAATAATAAAAATATTAGAGCAGATCCCTCTGCTCCCTGCAGCTACTGAGGGATGATCAAACCTTAGCAAAAGGCAGAATCACCTCTTCTTTTCCATGCAGTGACCTAGGGCCTGGCCCTGGGCACTTCCAGGGATCCAGGGGCAGCCACAACTTCTCTGGGCACCTGTGCCAGGGCCTGCCCACCCTCCCAGGGATGAATTCCTTCCTAAATCCCTGAAATGGGATGGAATTGAGTAAGATGGGATGGGAAGAATGATTCCCAGCAGTCAGGGGCTCGTTCCAGGCCCTCCCTCCAGGCTGTGAGAGCAGCACTGCTGTAGCAGAGCTCAAGGGGTAAAAGCAGACACAGCACAGGAGGGAAGAGCCTGGATTTGGGAGCTGCAGGTGCCTGCTGTTCCCACCGACTCTCGGCTGGGGAGCAATTGCTCCACGCCTCTGGAAACGAGCCTCAGTGCAGCAGAGGTTCTCAAAGAGGGAAAGGGTTGGCATCCAAGATGTTTGATACGACGAGAGCAGAGCTTTAGAGAGTAAACAAATTCTGTGCCAAAAGCTGCTCTCATTTACAGCTACAAAAATCCCAAGTCACTCTGAACTGCTGAAAACATCAGTTTCACCAGCAGTGAAACAGAATCACAGAATCAGGGAATCACGGAATGTTTTGGCTTGGAAGGGAACTTAAAGCTCATCTCGTTCCACCCCTCCCGTGTCCTGGTGACCCCAAGGCTTCCAGCTGTCAGGCAAACCTGGAAATACTGAATCCTCAAGGAGAAGGAAAAAAATACTCAAGCATTAAGCAGAAAAAGGGAATTCTCTCTCCAAAGTGTTTGAAGTGTGTGTGTAAGGAACCTCTGGGGGTGAGAAAGGCTGAAAATCAGAAAATCTTCCATCTTTATGCTCTTAATTTCAGAAACACTTCTTAAATGAGGGCTGGGTGGAAAGGGGAGCCCAGCACATGCCTGGTCTGGCTTCTGTTCTTGCCTCTTCCTACAGCAGCGTGTTTGGGGTCTGCTGGCATTTTTGGGGGTGTCCTCCCATGGCATTTGTGGGAAGGTTGGTCCCGAAGGCAGCAGCTGAGCCATGCAGCCCCACCCGTGAGCTGATCCCTGCCAGACTCCAAAAGAAGCTCCTCCAGGCAGGAGCCCCCCTCCATCCGGTGGGATCACACCGGTAACTCACATAATTTCAGCACATTACAATTAAGGAATCATTTCTTTAAAAATAGAATTTGCATTAGCTGGATTTGTGAGTAGGAAAGCCACTGCAAACAAACAGAAAACCTGCAGATTAAGATGCTAATTAGATGCATTTCTATTTATAATCTGCCTTGATCAGCCTCAAGTATTTTCTCTTTCAGGTGTCTGTGCTCCACCCACGGATGTGAGCAATTCCCCTGGCAGGGAAACACCTGCTGGTCCCTGGGGACAGCCAAACCTCGGGAAAAGCCTGTGCCAGAGGGATGGGGGTGCATCCCACTCCTGCTCCTTAGGGAGGAGGGAAGAGCTGTGCCTGGCCAGGGATGACCTGCCCAGGACCTTTCCTACAAACACCACATTCCTCACTCCTGGAAAACTGCAGGAAGCTTTGCCTTTCCCATCCAAAGGGGTGGGAATCATGGAATTAGCTGGAAAATATCTTTACTATCATCAAGTGCAACCATCAGCCCTGCACTACCACCCTGGTCACCACTGACCACCCCCCCAGGTGTCACATCCATGTTTTTTGAACACTTCCAGGGATGGGGACTGACCTTTCCATGAAGAAAATTTCCCCAATATCCAATTTAAACCTTCTCTAAGACCATTTTTTCTCATCCTGACCCTTGTTTCCCCACCCTGGCTGTCCCCTCCTGGCAGGGAGTTGTGCAGAGCCACGAGGTCCCCCCTGAGCCTCCTTTTCTGCAGGCTGAGCCCCTTTCCAGCTCCCTCCTGGTGCTGCAGTCGTGGTGGGGGTTGGACTTGGTGGCCTTGAAAGGTCCTTCCCCACCCAAACTATTCCATGATTTTATGGAATCTCCAAGAGCCAGGGCTGGGAATGGCAAGGATCTGCAGCTGGTGTCAGTTGTGGACTGGAAAGCTCAGTCTGAAAATGACAGAGAGACAGCAGGAGGTCGCTGAAACCACTCAGAGTCACTGGGATCGCTCCCTGCACTGGGATTCATGGCTGCAGCAACAGCATGTTCCGTTTTTGGAGCAAGCTGGGAATTCAGTGCTGAGTGGGATGCTCTCAGCTAAACCAGGGCTTGTCCTTGGTGCTTGGATTTCTAATCACAGTGGAAAAACAACTCCTTTTTGTTGTTGTTGGGTTGTGGTTTTTTTAATTTTGTTTTCCTTGGAGTTTCCTCTCTCACTGCAGAACATCCAGAAGGAATAAACAGACACCAGCTCCACTCTCTCTCCAAAGCCTTAATGACAGGATATGAGAAGTGTTTTGGGCCATAGGATTTATTATTAATGGGGTTCAGGGGCATTTGTGACCTGTGCAAAAAGATCCAACAAAAATTCACTGATAAACCAAGATTTAACAATGTGAAAAACAGCTCCAAGGTTGTGGGGGTTTCTTGAAATGCAGCTCAAAGAAAGAAATTTAAAAGATATGAGTCATCATTCCGAAATGTGCATCAAACAAGTTAAATAACTCTTACTTTCTTAACGACATATTAATCAAAGTGCATTGATTCTTGAATCAGATTCTACTCCCAACAAGCTCTCTATCTTCTCCATCCTGATGCATGCATTAAGAGAGTTTTATTCTGACAGATACAATATAGCAATCAATAAAATCTTATTATATGGAGCACAGATACATGGATTTGTTGCAGGATTTACGCACTGCTTTCAAACCCGGTGCTATTTCATGTCTCAGCCTTAACCTGTAATTGAAAATAAATCTCCCTGAATACACCAGATTCTAATTTTCTGGATGTATGGGCAAATGTGAAAGGGAGCTGCCCTTCCCTCAGGAGCAGGCCGCTCTGGGGTGCTGTCACTGCCCAGGGAGCACGGCTGGGTTGGCAGATCCCTCTGCAGAAACCCCAATGCAGGAGGGAAATGTGGGGAAAGGGGCAATGACTGGGCACTCCCAAATCATCCTCGTGCTTCCAAAGCCTCCTGGACAGGGATAACAGCATCTGACAGTGCCAGAGCCTGGCCCATGTGGGATGGATGGATGGATGGATGGATGGATGGATGGATGGATGATGGATGGATGGATGGATGGATGCATGGATGGATGGATGGATGGATGGATGGATGATGGATGGATGGATGGATGGATGGATGGATGGATGGATGGATGGATGGATGATGGATGGATGGATGGATGGATGGATGATGGATGGATGGATGATGGATGGATGGATGGATGGATGGATGGATGGATGGATGGATGGATGGATGATGGATGGATGGATGGATGATGGATGGATGGATGATGGATGGATGATGGATGGATGGATGGATGGATGATGGATGGATGGTGGAATCCATGGATGGATGGACAGACGGATGGACAGACATCAGGGTGACCACAGAATCTGCTGTTTCTCTGCTGCTTTTCCTCCAGGTTTGATTTTGCTCATAGGATCATGGAATGGTTTGGGTTAGAAGGGACCTTAAAGAGCACCCAGTGCCACCCCCTGCCATGGCAGGGACACCTTTCACTATCCCAGGCTGCTCCCAGTCCTGTCCAGCCTAACCTTGGGCACTTCCAGGGATGCAGGGACAGCCAGAGCTGCTCTGGGCACGTGTGCCAGGGCCTCATCCTAAAAAAACACCTTCCCTCTTTTCTCCTCTCCTCCCCTCAGAGCAGCACGGAGTGTTTGGAGGCTGCCTCTCACCTGGCAGGACCTGGCACAGCTGGGAAGGCTCAGCAGGGACAGGAGCCAGATGCCCACGGGCGCTGTTCCTCTGGGCTCGGCCTGCGAGGGCTCGGTGCCACTTGGATGTATGACAGCAGGTGGAAACCCAGCAGTCTCCCTGGAAATGGCTAGAGGGGACTTTGATCTCGGCAGCTCTGTCAACAGTGTTAATACAATAAAAATAATCAAATTCACTCGGATGGAAATGAGAGATGGAGGGATCGGCAGACAGCAGCGCAAATCCCAGGGAATAAAGAGGATGGGAGCTCATCCCCTCTGCACAACCAGGAGTTCAGAGGCTTCTCAGAAGAGCCACAATCTTGAATTCATCAAAGTCACTGGTTTTTCCCCCTGATTTTTTGGAACAGGATTTGAAGCAACCTGTGGAAGGTGGCACCATGGCAGGGATGTGCTTTAAGGTCCCTTCCCATCCAAACCATTCCATAATTCTGTGAAGCCCCAGCCCTGAGGGTCTTGGCCAGCAGCTGCAGCCTGCAGGTCACTGCTGGGGACACCCACGAGGGTGGGCAGTGAGCAGAACGCTGGCACGGAGTCGGGAATGCCATCGCCAGGGTTTTGGGAACACCGTGTGCTGGCATTCAGCCTCCTCTGTAAAACACTCACCTGGATGACCTGGAAGTGGCAGATACAGGGAATTACAGCCTGGCTGAGGCCAGGATTCACCTCTGTTGGATCCTGCCAGTATGGTTTTGGCTCCAGGGTAACTAATCTGTGCTTAATGGGGATAATTCACCCTCCAGATCCAAACCCTGTGACAGGACACAACCCCTTTCATTCCCTCAAGGCTTTTTTACCTCCACTGGACATTTGCCACCTTTGAGTGATCTCCAGAGGCTGCTGATGAGGCTGGGGCAGGCAGGGTGAGGATGGGGCCATGGGATGGCTCCTGGCACTGCTGGATAAATGAGGCTTGGGAAAAACCCAGTCCCATCGACCTGATGTCCACGAGAGACGGAGCAGGAGGGAGGAGAGGAAAGGAAGCTAAGGCAGAGTGGGGGTAGGGATGGGGAAGGGAGTTCAAGCCTCCTGCCCGAGGGAAGGGGGACATCAGGGAGGTCACCTGGCTGCTGGGGGGTTCTCCAAGCACCCCCTGACCCACCCTGAACCCCCCACTCCTGTCACTGCTCCCCTCCCTTGTTTCCAGTGCTGAGCTTTGCTCGGTTGGCGAAAGGGTTAAGTTTAATTTATACTGATTTCTATTTAATATCATTCTCTCCCCGTAGGAGCCGGCAGCTGTGAGCTGATTGTAGTCCCTCATTATGCAGTCTGTATCACTAATGGCCTGTGACAAAGGCATGCCATCTTCCCGGCCTTACCCCCGAGAGCCAATTAAACACACATACTCCCTTCCTGTTTGCGGCGCATTACAATGAAATTAAACTGAATTTCAAAATCATTTTCTCCTAAAGACATCTCTTTGCAATAATTAATGCACGCTATTCCTTTGCAGCTGAAATATTCATCAGGAGTGTTGACTAAAAAAATTTTTAAAGCTGATTGCCCTGCACCCCACGTGAGGGTTGGTGACGCTCCGGTCCCAGCCCGCGGTACCCGCCTGGCCCGGGGACTCGTGGTGACACTGCTGGCAGAGTGAGCTCTGCTTCGGGAGAACAATTAGAATAAATCACAGCTTCTTCAGGAACCAACAATAAATCAGGTTACACAGAAGGGATCAGAAATGCAGCCTGACTCCAGCCACCACAGCGCTGCTAACACACAGTCAAGAGGGGAGTGGGGAAACCAGAGCTGTGGATAACATGGAATCAGAGAATCCCAGAATCACCGAGGCTGGAAAAGACCTCCAAGGTCATCACGTCCAACCTGTGACTGATCCCCACCTTGCCACTCATCCCAGAGCACCGAGTGCCACATCCAGGCATCCCTTGGACACCTCCAGGGATGGGGACTCCAGAATCTCCCCAGGCAGCCCCAGCCAATGAACAACCCTTTCCATGAATAAATTCCTCCTGAAGTCCAACCTGAGCCTCCCTTGGCACAGCTTGAGGCCATTTCCTCAAATCCCTGGAAGCCTGGAAGTAGAGCCTGACCCCCATCTGGCCACACCCTCCTCTCAGGGGTTTGTAGCTGGTAGTTAATGATTCTGTGACACAGTCCCTGTGTAAATTGAGACAAATCCCACCTGTCTGCAAAGCTGAATTCCCAGGAAAACATTAAGCAGTGGTATTTCATGCTTAGGAGCAAAGCACCCCAAACACCCCCCACTACTCGGTGACTCACTACAGCCAATGCAGGCAAAGCCCCTTCCCCAGCCAGCGTGTGGAAACACATCCAGCCTGCACTCCCAGCTGCCAGCCCCAGTTCCAGCCCCTCTCCAACCCTGTGCACCCACCCAGAGCTGCTGGGGGAGCCCTCCCCGTCCCCGTACCTGTTCTGAACCATCCGTCGGGCGTGAAGGCATCCGCGGTTTCCTTGGGTCTGTTCCAGTACTTGCGGAACACCGAGGGGCCCTTCACCAGCAGCTCCCCCTCTTGTCCCTCCAGGCCCGGTGTCACCTAGGACAGGCACACAGTGAGTGCATCTCACCCTCACCTGTGAGGGTGACACACAGGACCCACAGCACGGGCTCCACCACACCCTGCCCATCTGCAGGACCTCTCTCCCCGGGTGAGAAGGGCTCATCCAGCTGCTTTAGATATTCCAAAGCACTGGAAATGAGCACCTGTGTTATATGAAAACAAGGATTGACCTCCTGGAAGTGCAGGCCAGGGTGAGGCATTCCAGCTGCTGGGAGAGAGGTCAGAGAGATGTGCAGGAAATAACTCTTGGGAAAGGGATGGTCCTTTCTGACCCCTTCCAGGGATGCAGGGGTAGCCACAGCTTCTCTGGGCAACCTGTGCAAGGGCCTCATCTCCCTCATAGCCAGGAATTCCTTCCCAATATCCCATCTAAACCCATGCTCTGTCGGTTTAAACCCACAACCAAGGTGTGCAAAGCCACTGCTGGGATGGAAGGGTGTGAGGGATGTGCCTGGACACTCTGCTCCATCCCTCTGTGGAGAACAGCTCAGTAGCAGGAATTCCAAGCCACTTTCCCAGCCACTTTGTACTGAGCTGTTGCAATGGCCAGGACCCATCTGGGACCCCAAAAATCAGCAGTGCCAGAAACAGGGCCACGAGGGAAAGCTGTAATAGCAGCGCTGGAGCGCCAGGCAGTCCCAGGGCAGAGCAGGCTCTCTGCAGCCTCTGAAGGAATCGAAGCTTCCCTAATGGAAAACGCTTAGAAAACTGCTTCTAAAGCATCATTTTCAAGTATTTTCTTCCTGATGTCCTGTTCTGGAGGATGGGGTGACAAGGGGATCTCTGCACACACAGCCAAGGCTTCTTCCAGAGCCTTGGTTGGGGATCAATTCCCTGCCTGGAAGATGCTGCAGGAAAGGAAAGTCATTAATGCCAATTTTGCTGAGTGATGGCAAGGTGGGGACGGTGCTGGGTGAGGTCTCTTCACAGATCTGAAAGATGGAGCTGAAGTCTAGACTATCCATGAGAGAAACCTCAGGTCTGGAGAGCCTGGAGCAAAACTCCACACCTGCAGCAGCAAAGAGCACAAAGGTTCTAAAAAAAGGAATAAAGAGGCACAAAAAAAAGGCACAATGGGCATAAAAAAGGGCACAATGAGCACAAGAAGCACAAAGCCTCCTTGGACAAGCGTGGCAGGGACATGGTGGGTGGCACAGAGGGACCAACAAGGGGCTCTTAGAGGCTGTGTGGGGTTTTATGATGCAGATCTTTCTTCTCACCCCTTTTCCTGCTGGTGCAGCTGGGGCATCACAAAACAAGCAGCTTCTCTGAGCAGTGTCCTGGTGTTCAGGCTCCTTCCCACTCCCCAGAAGGGCTGGGGAGGGGATGGCAGAGGTAAGAACCTGCAAAATTCCCTAAGCTTCACCCTGCTGGGCTCTGGCTTCTTCTTGTCAGTGCTGAACACAAGAAGAGCTGTAAATCTGCTACAACCCCCTCCAGCCCCATCCTGCCCAGGATTCTGCAGTGCCAGGTACCTGCACAGCCCCAGGGATCAATCCTGCCCAATGTTTACCTGCACAGTGCCATGTCTGGTGTGAATCAAGCCTTGAACCCGCTCCAAATTTCCTGTCATATCAACCCAAATTTTGGCAGCGGCTCAACCCACATCTTATCTCGAGCAGAGCCCCTTGGCAGCAGGCACCTCCCTGTTGTGTAATTTAATGATGTTAGGGCTGGCTTGCAAACAGTAAAACAGAGAGGCCGTGACGTTATCTTAATGGGATTTTGCTTGCTGCACTCGGAATGTCACCGGCACTGCTCCCCAGCGTGGCACAGGGGCACAAACCGCCCCGGCGCCGGCTCCCCGACAGCAGCAATTAAAATTCAAGGTTCACTGCATTTATCTCCTCCAAGCCCTCGTGTCTGATCCCTCTACAGTCCCAGGTACAGCAGGCTGGCTGGCTCTGGGAGCAGGGATGGCAGCACACGGCTGGGCTGGTTGTTTCCTCTCTCCCTCCAATCCCGGCGGCTCCCGTTGTTGCCGCGTGGCTCCACGGCAGGAGCAGCTGCTGGAGGCATCACATTGCTGAGTGCTCACATCTCCCCCTCTCCCAGTGCCATGTTTTAATGCATTCCAGAAGTTTAACAGCCAGGCACGGCCCTGAAGGTTGTTTGAGAGCTCCCTGCTCTAAACCCAGTCGAGCTGGACCAGCCGGCTCACGAGATAAGATTCCATTTTCCACGCATGGAAATAAAAGGTTGTAATAAATCCTTTGAAGGCCTAAATCTGGGTGACTAGAAAATGCATATTTTCCCCCCCTCCCCATTTTACCTCTTTATTAGGAGGGTGGTTTGTAAAGAGCTGGGAATCCCTGCCTGGCACTCGGCCCTGGGATTTGTTGAGAGGGGCCGTTTGTTTTCCTGCGGTCTCTGCCCCGCGCTCCTCCGGGAGCTGTGGCAAGGAGCTCCTAATGGACTCTAATGGAATTAGGGGAGGCTCAGAGCAGCGTGTCCTTCTCTGGGAAACAGAGAAGGCACGGTGGATTCCTAAGCAGAAACACGTGGGAGACACAGAGGGGAAGCTGGAAGGTGAGGTTTGAGGAGATGAGACCAAGTTCTTGGGCTGGGGATTGGTAGGAAGACAGACTTTTAGGAGAAAACCCAAATACCTTCAGGTTGCAAAGAGGTTTTAGACAGATACACTTAAACTCTACCAGATGCCTCCTTCCCCCTTCACCCCCCAAATACTCACAGAGCCATGGAAGGTCTGGGTTGGAAGGACTTCAGAGTTGATCCAGTCCCAGCCCCTGCCATGGCAGGGACACCTCCCACTGTCCCAGGCTGCTCCAAGCCCTGTCCAGCCTGGCCTTGGACACTGCCAGGGATCCAGGGGCAGCCACAGCTTCTCTGGACACCTGTGCCAGAGCCTGCCCACCCTCACAGGGAAGGATTTCTCCCTGATATCCCATCTAAGCTTACCCCCTTTGTTTAAAGCCATTCCCTGTGTTCTGTCCCTCCATCCCTTGTCCCCAGTCCCTCCCCAGCTCTCCTGAAGTCCCTTCAGGCCCGGAAGGGGCTCTGAGCTCTCCCTGGAGCCTTCTCCTGCACAGGGACCTGCAGCTGGTTTTGCTGAACTTCTTTCCTGGGGGGGAACCAAAGGCTGTGGATCAGAGCATCATATCTCAGCAGGGACCACAAAAGGGACTTCATAACTCCATGAAGCAAAAGCATTTTGACTTGTGGGTAGGAAAGAAATGCTTCTGCAGCCCTGCCTCCTTCCTGCTGTGCTACTCGGCTTGGAAGTGCTTGGCATTTTTCCCCACCTTGTAAATAAATGATTACTGTGATCAAAATAATTAAGCAACTGAGCCCTTAAGTGACTAATAGAAGACAATAATTTATGTATGTGAGGTTTATGGAAGTGACGGAGCCCTTTTACCTCTTCTGCCAGAGAAGTAACTTTTTCCTGGTGTTTGTTGGGCTTTTTTTTAAACACACCAGAGATGGGAAATGATACAAGAAATCCTGAAGGACTGTTCCAGCTCTGTCCTGCACCCCAAGTCAGGCTGTGCAGCATGGATGCCCTGCAAGGGCCCCCACTCCTCTGCTGGACCTTAATTGCCACCAGCACCTCCAGACATCTCCCTGTCCCCTCAACCAGCCCTTCAAGGCTTTGGTGGCCCAGAGCCCTGTCCCAGAATCCCAGGATCACTGAAGCTGGAAAAGAGTGTCAGGATCATTGAGTCCAAGCTGTGCCCAGTCCCCACCTTGTCCCCAGCCCAGAGCACCGAGTGCCACATCCAAGTGTTCCTTGGACACCTCCAGGGATGGGGACTCCAAAATTTCCTAGGCAGCCCCTGCCAGTGAACAACCCTTTCCATGGGGAAATTCCTGCTGCTGTCCACCCTGAGCCTCCCCTGGCCCAGCCTGAGGCCGTTCCCTCTCCTCCTGTCCCTGTTCCCCCCGGCTGTCCCCTCCTGGCAGGGATCTGTGCAGAGCCAGAAATTCCCCCTGAGCCTCCTTTTCTCCAGGCTGAACACAGCATCTAACACCTCAGCCCCCACTGACCTGGAGCAGGGCAGCTCCAGGCTTGGCCCACACTTTCCCAGATCCCAGCACATCCAGGCCTGGTGTGGGAGGTGAGGACATGCTCACCTGCCTCCTGAAGGAAGCTGGAGATAATAACCTGCTTGCCAGTGCCTTTAATCACCGTCTCCCAGGGCCATACTGGAATGGATGTCCTAGGACTGGGAGGTTTGTTACAGCATTACCAAATTCCCAGGCAATCTGAACTTTCCTGCACATTCCTAATTAAAAATTCCCTGCTAAGTTGCCTGTTTTTGTAAAGGCATTATCGTTCCTTGGAGCTCCGTGTCCTGCAGCATCCACACAAGCCTGGCAGGAGGCAATTTAGACACAGAACAATTTTCCTCCTGCTGGAAAAAGGCAGATTTCTGCTCCTCAGGGACACAGCACAGAAAGAGTAAGAAAAAAATAAAACCCCAACCTAAAAACCCCAAGCTCAGGCTGTAATCTGCGAGGCCACATTTCACATCTGTTTTTGCAATGTTAACTTTTATAAAAGGGTTGGGAATAACACAATCCATTTACTTTTCATTTTGGAGAGTCATAAATTTAAAATCAAGGCTGGTGCACAGTGGAGCTGGAACACTGAAACTTGTTTTCAAACAACCCAACCCTCTACTTACAGCAAATGTTGTTCCACTGAAAACAAAAGTGATTGTCTATATTTTTAGGCAAAACTGATTTTTTTAAGTTAGCAGCCTGATTAGCTCCAGATGATCCCAAAAGCACGACAGAAAACAAGCCAAGTTTGGGAAAGGTCAGTCCTCCCTGCAGCAGTTCCATGGACACAAAACTTCTTGATCTATATTAACAGCATAAATTAAATGTGTAACACTATTGCAGAGATGCCAACAGCTCTCCATGCTGCTGTTCTCGTCCCTCTCATTTGCAGGCTGCCTGGGATAATAAACAAGGAGAGATGTCAGCACATCTTCCCACTCCCTCAGCTC